CACCCCCACAGTCCCCACAGAATCTTTTGACAGTGGGTGGTTAAGAACAAGATATTCTTTTATCTCATTTACATTTTTAATGGGTGAAAATCGCAACTCGCGCCTAAACACCATGAGGTCACTGAAGTAGGCATGTGCTGTGGTTCTGCTATCTCTCTTTAAGCCAATGTCGAACACTGAATGGCCTGAATTCATAAAGTCCTTGGAGTTGCTTGTTACTATCTTACTGACATTCATCTCTCCGTTCATGAAAAGCCTCACGGTACCTTGTGTACGTCCCCAAGTCATTGCCAAGTGAGTCCACTTGTTAACTACAACAGTATCTCTGCAATGTATGAGTGGGGATTGTTCAGTGGCATAAACGTTTTTAGCTCATTTCCCATCTCGATCTATTTGACTATGAGCGAATTTGTCACATGATTTGAATAAATCAAAATGGCGTATCCAAGATGGCGAACTTTTCAACAAAACATCACTTCTATCGAAACTACACTTCAAGGTCTTTAACGTGCTGTTGTTTACGTTGAAATCCATACTTGTTTGAAATATTCATTGAGTATGGGAAGCCAATAAATTAAAATCAACAACGGTTTGTCGATGTCAATTTACTTCAGATCAAAAGTGACACTTGTTTATAAGCTATTCATCCAGATGAATGAGATGACTTCGCCCCATAGTGTAAGGGATTCGGATTCCGAAATGCGAGAAATTTTTGCTTTTTGGAATCCGGAATCCGGGAAAATTTTGCTTGAGAAATCTAAAATCCTGGGCTCTGGAATCTGGAGTAAAGTTCAAGGAATCCGGAATCCCAGTAACGAATGAAATCCAGAATCCAACTTTCACTGACAAAGACTGGGATCCAGTACCTGGTATCCGCAATTCACGACGTGGAATCCAATATCCAAGACTAGTTTGGATTTCCTTTCATGGGACGAATGACTATTGACATTCATAAAATTAATAAGAAAATGTGAAGATACCTACCTGGTACAAAACACAAAAATATCTTTTCCAGCTATATTTCTCACATCGGCACAAAAGTGACTGCTTGGGGCAATATACACTCGAAATGACCAAGGATAAGACCAGTCGCCATAAACTACATATTGTGCACCCGAGCTCTTCATTTTGATCCATACGGCGATTGTGAGGCTTGTGCGATGGATGGGAAGAGACGGAGTCTCCGCGAACGCCCCACTACTTCCGTCTAAATACAGAGCTGTTCTTCCATCTTGCTTCTCGTATCTTGCAGATCCCTTTAAGCTGTAAAATGGAATAAACGTATAATCCGAAATGAAAACTTTCTTGGTGGTACTTTCCCTAAACGTACGAATGGGGTCAAGCGAAGAAATCTGGCCACTTGGAGGGTTCGTCACAGTTGGATCCCCACCCCGACAAAATAATCGTCTTTCCTAAGGTGTTAAGAATGTCTTGAGTGCATCGAGAATTTTGGGCCAAAATAATGAAATTAATCGCGCGGAAATTAACGTTTACTTTAACGTGACTTAAATTAACGCGAATTTTTTTCATGATCATGCGTAGGATGAATTTCCTATAAAAACGAAGTCCCTAACCCACTACTGTCGGATATTTAGAAAGCAGCACCGATTACTGCCAACCCACAAAGAGCTGCATTGTGTTTGTAGCAGAACACACAAGGAAAAACTATGCAGTTTGGTTCATTATTTCATTAATGTTCTTACCTGACTTGACCGTCCATACCGTTGAGCCGCCAGAAAGAAAGGAGACCTGGAAGGAATTATTTCGCAGTTTCAACGGACGGTGGTTAAAGGTTTTAAACCCCGCAAAAAAAAGAAACGCAAGTATAAAACAAATTTAAAAAGATAAAAGGAATGAAATATTAGAAAGGGGTTATTGATGTCTCTTAAACTATGTAGCAAGTCAAAGATCAGAGAGAAATAGGCATGTTAAGAAACCACACCTCATCGTAGAATAACACTAAAAAAAATTACAAACAATTTTAAAAGACTGAAGCCTAGGCCAAACGTCGAACTTTTCATGAGACGAACCAGACTCTAATTTGGGTTAACCTAAACTAAGTTAAGATCGTTTGTTGGGTCAGACGTCGAACTTAGGACGCTTCGAACTAATCATCTGAATCAGATTGGCAATAGACGTTCTCCCAGACGAGGCTAAATAAACTTTATTATACAAATTTTCAATGTATTTGTTCAGTTCGTCGCATGTTAAGATCGACATTTGTCCCGGAGACGATCTTCACAGGGGCACCCATCGACTTTTTCTCTACAATAACTGTTCAAAGGAGCAAATGTTGCCTAGAAATTTATAAAGCTTGAGAAGAGCTAAAAATGTCTCGATAACCATTCAATTCGTCTCAAATATTCGGAGGTTTTCTGATAGCTTAACTACGATTTTCGGAGGTTGTGTTATTCACATTTTAATACCAAGATATTGCGATTATTATTTTAAAAAGGTCTCCTAAAACTTTCGGTATGAAAACAAAACGTTCCCTATAATTTTCTAATGAAAGCAAGGCTACTTCAGGTCCTCAAACCTTCGACCAGACTTATAAGGGTAGCGAACACTTTCGGATGAGACGAAAAAGCCACGTAAAACTTTTGTGACGACCAAAGTTCCCTTAAAACATCCGAAGAGATAAAAAGTTTTTGAGGCAACTCCAAATTAACCAAACAGTTTTCTAAAGCATAGAGCAAACCATCTGAGACGCTTCTGACGTATTTGGAAACATTCCGTCGTTGGGTGCCCCTGTCTTCAGACTTTAATTCTGCCCGTCTGAAGCAGGCGGATAGAACGTGTTGGACGATCCAAACCCGTTCAGACGAACGTAACTGAGCCAGACGTCGAACTTTTCATGAACTTAACTTCCTAAGTTTGGTTCATCTCATGAAAAGTTCGACGTTGGCCTAGGCCTAAGTCACTTCTGATCAGTTACTTCTGGGCTCTTATAAGTACTTATAAGGCGTGTGTTCTTTAGTAGTAATCCATGTAAACCATGTAACAATAACTAGCTCACTAGAGTAAATACTAAGAGTTATGCACCTATCAATGTAAACCCCGTGGGGGGGTAGTGCGGGCAAGGGGAGGGGATTTGATACCTGGGACTATCCCCGCTGTCGGGCTTTTGATCGTGTGAAGCGACCCCGGGGTCGGGACATTTGACTTTGACCGACAGAAGCCTGGTATCAATTCAGAAGCAGTTACCAAGTCCGTCCCTCGAAGGCCTGATACTCAGGCTAGTCCCTCGAGGCTTCCTGAAAGTCACGTTGTTGGAGAAAGGTATGAAGTTTTCATTTGTTTTAATCGCCATAATCTGATACTTTAAACTGTCATCTAAACAGATAATGTCTATTTTGTGGAAGTTTTTATCTTCAAGTTCCCATCTGATTGTAAAACTCGATTGAAATCGAATTCCACCATGAAAGTCAGAGGATTTTTTAGGGGTCACTGATCCGACCTGTTCCGACATGTTGAGCAGATGTTATAAAGCATTTTACGTTTTATTAATATTATATAGCACGGTCAATCTTCCTGGAGTGATTTTGTT